GTGCCTGTTCCTTGTCAACAGCTACGTGATTGTAGGCAAATTACTTAAATTAGGTAAGCCTGCAGCTAATATGCAGCATAGACATGAAGATCTCATAGAATTATTCTGAGAAATGAAATGATACATATGAAGTACTTAGTGCAAACACAGTAAACGGTACCTTTAACTTTCTTATTTCTTTAGACAGTAATGTTATCTAAGTGATATACGCAGACATCATACAGAAAAACTGGCAAGTGCTTCTGCAGTAAAATAACGGGAAAAAACAAAAGGGGAAGACAGTAATATACCCATATTTTGCTGTGTATAATGTGCACCCATGATTTTGTGCACATTATACATGGAATTATTATACCCATTGTAATACACATGGTGTGTAATCATTATACTCATGTATAATACACACCCTTATTTTCCACCAAAAATTTGGGCAAAAAAGTGCACACTATACACAGCAAAATACAGTAATGATCTTCACAGGCCATTAACTGTTTATCATGTATTATTTAGCTTTGACAATTTTCAGTATAAATGCTTTAGTTTAATTTACCCTAAGGCTTTAAAAAAGCCACTAGTAAGTATGTACCTTTCTCTGTATGTGTACTGAGAACTGAAAAATACTTAATGCCTGAAAACTGATGCATTATTTAGCACATTTAACTCTGAGATAGCCGTCTCATCAACTATTATTTGACAAGCAAAAACTATCTGCAAGGATAATAATCACTGCATTAGTCCTAATAGCAACAAATTGAAGACAACCCATATGCATCAACAGAGGAATATTTTAAGTTATACTACAGCCATATTATGAAACACAAGAGACATTAAAAAGAATAAAGGCCACCCTGGCTGGTGTGGTTCAGTGGATTGATTGCCAGCCTGCAAACCAAAGGGTGGCAGGTTCGATTCCCAGGCAGGGCACATACCTAGGTTGTGGGTTCAATTCCTGTTCAGGAGGCAATCAATCAACGTTTCTCTCTCACACTAATGTTTTCCTCTTTCTCCTTTCCTCTCTAAAATCAATAAACAAATCCTCAGGTGAGGATAAAAATTAAAGAATGAAGGTCTATTTGCCTTGCTATGTAAAATGTTAATATACACATAAATTGCAAAACTGTATCTTTTTTTTAATTAACCTAAGTGCATACACAAAAAAATCTAGCTGTATACCCATTGACAATGATTATCCTTGAGAAGGGGGTTTGCTCACATAAGTTAAGAATTTTACTCACTCTTTTTTAGTTTGGTTTATAAGTAGTTGTTTAATTCTAGGTTATTTTTTAAAATACACCAGCCAAGCAGATTCGGTAAGATTTTTCAATTTTCTACTTCTTAGTAGTATTAGTATTTTCTATGACAAAGTACAACCCAAATGTTATGCAATACTGTAATTTTCTAACATACAATGATGAGGTCTGTCTGGGAAAAGATCAGCCATTGTTAAGATAATGAGAACGGTTGGCACATCAGTGTAACCAGGTAGTCAAAGAGTGGACTGGGAATGTGCACACATGAACAACGATGACTTCACTGTAGTCAGTGGTGGCAGGAGATGCCGTTGAGTGAGCACGTGTACTATGTGGTGTCATATTCAAAATGACTGAGCAGTTAAGTGGGGAGGAGAGATGAAAAAATAAAGAAAAAATAAAACAAAATGACAGAGTAGGGCAACAAATCTAGATCAAATTTTGTATTAAGCTTGAACATTCCTCCGCAGAAACTGAGATGATTCAGAAGGCCAAGCAGCTATGGGCAACTGGTGATTGGCAGTTTCATCAGGACAACGTGCCTGCTCATGCATCACGTCTCCTGCAGTTTTTTGGCAAAACATCAAATCACCCAGGTGACTCAGCCCCTCTACAGCCCAGATTTGGCACCCTGCAATTTCTGACTTTCCCCCAAAATAAAATCACCTTTGAAGGGGAAGACATTTCAGACTGTCTATGAGATTCAAGAAAATACAATGCAGCTCATGGTGACTGGGAGAACTGTGTGAGATCCCAAGGTGCCTACTTTGAAGGGAACTGTGTACAATGTTTCTTGTATCTTCAATAAATGTCTCTATTTTTTTCATATTACATGGTTGGATACCTCCTGGATAGACATCTTATAGCAGAAGGTGTGTTTCTTAGGCTTTACTCTCTCAAGGAACTTTTTAATTGAAAAAACTTACGATGCATATTCACTTTTAATAGAAAGCACGAGACAAAGCATGAGACGTTAATCTGCAATAAGACACTAGGAAAAAGCATTGTCCTCCTCTGGTTTAGAGGTGGTCTTTGTTGTCCTGTTTCAAGAGGGCTTTCTGAAACTGGAAAAGGCATTTTTCCCAGTGATCAGAATCTTCACTGATTCAATAAATTGGTTAAAATGAGAGATTTACTATCCTAAGTACAAATATTGTCTTTTGGTGTGACATCCACATTGTCTAGAGCAGTTCTGCTCAAATCAATCCAACATCCAAGAACCACTTTCAATCAACAAAGACAGAGGCATGCAATATTTAACATTAAACACAAATTCTCAAACAAGCAAGCACAGTTAAGTTAAATAAGGCTACAAATCAAGTAACTAACACTGTCACTTCTGGTCTTGAGGGAAATAATCATAAATACCAAATTCTTAAGTATCCTCAACCCTTTAACATTACTTAAAAACCCTTTACATAACTTAAAAACAAAAATTCATTGTGAAGTAGATTTAAATATGAAATTTATGTTCCCAATCACCAATTTATAGGAGAAAACAACCCACATTATATTCTGAGTTACCACTATGAATAACCACTTGCAAGTGTTATTAATGTCAAATTTTAAATATTGAAATTAGTATCAATTTTTAAAGACTTTTTAAACCACTTTAATGATTACCATTTAACTTATACTAAAAATACTGTAAAAGAAATTCTACATTATAGGGAGACAAAAAAATATGTTCACTTTTATTTTGCTAATCTTTCAAATTAAAGCATGGTGCAAAAATTGTTTTGAATATTGACTAGATTCTGTATCACCTACTTTCATGAATTCACATATTAAATTTGAATATTGATAGTTCTCATAGATGAAAAGAAATCAAAACATACAACTGATTGTTCCCCTTCCAAAAAAAGTCCCAGATGCCAAAAATGCTTGTATAAAAATCAGCAAGAGGAATTTGGGAAAAAGTAAATTTTGCCTCCACTAAATAACAGTCCAAATTACAGAAATTTGTAAAGGTAGATATATGACAATGAACAGCACACTAACTCGCTTTTCTAGCAATTTTTACATAATTCACATAACTTTTTATAACTATGTTGGAATTCAAAATGACAAGTCTTATAACTCTGAAAACCCTCCAAAAAGTGGTCTATTCCAACTGACCCAGAAAAAAAATAGATCTTTCCACTAAAACTGAGTAAAAGACAGTGACAATTATAACAAAAAATTTAAGCATATCACTCTGTATCCTAGTAGCCCCCAAAATGCTGAACCAAATTACCAAATGAAGCACACATGCAGTGTTTCACTAAAAGTGAAAAATACAACCAACTTAAGAGAACTGTAGAGCAATTTGAGAGCAAAAGATTTGACGTGTTTTATTCAATGTGCAAAAACCTCTATCCCATTTATCATAGAAGTACATTTAGATATTTGTACCAAGCATCAGCTATCCTTTGTCAAAGTGACAACTGAGCGTCCATAATCTGGCTTAGCAACCTTGACCTTTCCTCTAGAAAAGCAGAGCCTTGGCAATTAAGAAGAAAATTGGCAAGAATTAGATCTTTAGAAACATGACAAGAACTAAAAGAGAAAGGGGGGGGTCCATGTTAAAATAGTCTTTAAGCCAAAGAATTTCCCCTTCAAAAGGCGTCTTAGTAAGACTTTCAACTGTAGAATTCAAGCCAATTATTTTATAATGTTAAATAAATGTTCTAGATTAATAGGTAATCTGAACCCACCCACCAGGTTATACATACTCTCACTCAATCATGTAAAGAATTGAATTCTTTATTTGTAATATCCATAAACGTTGCTATTCTATATTTCTATCCAGGAAGGCAATTTTCTCCTATATTGTTTCGTTTTGTTATTTATAAACAACTGAAATCTATTGCATTAAAGGGCTACAAATACACATTTGTTAACCAAACAGAATACAGATATTTCGCTTTACAATTTGCACCTAAGACACCAGTACATGTAGCTGGTTCACGTTGTCATAGCAATTTGGGGCCATTGCCCAAGCTATGCATAGCAGTTTACATTTTCAAATCTCTTGTAAAAAGGGCAATTGTGATATGGGCTGTTAACTACATTCCTGTTAAGCCCACCTAAAGTAAACGTGTTACCAAAGTCTGAACAGATTTTTTGATGGCAAAACTTCTAAATCTGATGCAATTGTTCTAAACAAGTTTTTAAACAAATTGTTTTGCACATATACTGCCACTCTGCCAGTAGATGGCGCTACATACGTTGAGGGAAGGATTTCCGTGAGGACAGCAGGTATAGGAAAAAACGTTTAAACCTGCTCTGAAAATACAAAAATGCATTTAGTTTGAAGGTAAAATAGAACCCTTATTGTAGCCACTCATTACAGACAAACCATTAAGAGGGATAAAACTAGGCCATGTGAAAATTTTTAAATAGTTTATATGAATGAAACACATGCTTTACACAAAATATTTCTTTAGAACTGCACAGTACATACTTTTAAGTAAATTCTCATAAAAAGAAGTAACCAATAATGTCAAGATGATAAGCAAATCCTTTAGAACAAGAGATGGATGCACAGAAACTTTAAAGATTTTTAAAAAGCCACACCCACCATTTGAAAAGTTTTGCCTGTAAAGGGATAAATTTCAACACATCACTAGTAGGGCAACAGGAAAAAAAAACCAGGACCTTTCCAAAGTCCCTCTGAGTACACATCAAAATTAAGAACACAAGAAATTTTCAACTAATATCCCTTAAAACTGTACGAAATGGATCATAGAAAAAAAAATGTTAGACATGTACGGTCAAACACAATGGTTTATTAAAAATAAAACGTAAAAATGATTTTTGTACATATGCTTCCAAATTTCAGGCATGGGATCCAAGTAGATTTCATAGAAAACGCTGTAGCCAGGTATCAAGTCCTTACAACAAAGTAAACTAACCCCCCACCCCAACTCCCACCCAAGTTTTGCTACAGAATCAGCAAGTTCACTCCCTCCCCCCAAAAAACACAAATTAAAACGAGACATCTTGCTAGTATAAAAACGACGAAAGTCCAAGTAATAATAAAAAAATATAGTCCATCAATAACTGTAACACAAAAATGTGTATGTGGGGCAGAGTCCATCTTCAGAGGCAGAGACGAGAGAGGTGGCAGGCAAACAGGGCAACACCCCCAAGAGTAAGCAGCCTTAGAAGCAGCTCCCCCAAGGGCAAAATGGGGAAGGCGGTGGGAGGGGAAGGGACTCGGGAATTGACCCTAGTTTGGCGGTTGAAGAGCTACCCCTATAGCCACTCCCAGGTGCTTAAAATTTTAGAAGGAACTGCCTCCATAACCACCCCCACCGCCATAGCCACCTCTGTAAGGTCCACTGTTACTGCGACCGCCCCAGCTGCTGCCTCCTCCACCGCCGCCGCCGCTCTTCATGGGCCCATAGGAGGACTGGTGCTGGCTGTAGCTGCCGAAGCCGCCGAAGCCGTTACCGTAGTCGCTTCCACCGTAAGACGAACCGCCTCCGCCTCCTCCGTAGGCATTGTAGCCGCCGCCGCCGTAACCACCGTAGCTGTTGTAACCGCCGCCACCGCCCTTAGACAGGCCGTTCTGGTCACGACCGCCACCGCGACCCCGGCCGCCTCGGCCGCCTCGGGAGGACCGGGAGCCGCCTCCGCCCCCACCGGAGTGGATATCCTCCTTGGGGACGGCCTTCTTCACCTCCACACGATGGCCCTGGATTGGATGGAACTTGACCACTGCGGCCTTGTCTGCCGCGTCGTGATTCTGAAAATACACGAAGCCGAAGCCACGCTTCTTGCCGGACTGCTTGTCGGCAATAATCTCGGCCTTTTCCACGGTGCCAAACTGCGAGAAGTGCTCGATCAGGTCGCCCTCGGCCACGTCTCCTTTAAGGCCCCCAACAAAGAGCTTCTTAACCTTGGCGTGGGCACCGGGCCGCGCCGAATCCTCCCGGGACACCGCCCGCTTCAGCTCCACCGTGTTGCCGTCCACTGCATGGGGCGAGGCGGCCATGGCGGCATCAGCCTCCTCCACATTGGAGTAGGTCACGAAGCCGAAGCAACGGGAGCGCTTGGTCTGGGGGTTCACCACCACCACGCAGTCCGTCAGAGTCCCAAAGGCCTCAAAGTGGCCACGCAGGCCCGACTCACTCGTCTGCACATTGAGGCCGCCTATGAACAGCTTACACAACTGGGAATTATCCATCTCCAAGGGCCGGGCCTTCCCCCCGCCCTGCGAGCTCCGAGGTTTCGCCGTCGCCGTTATCGTTGACTAAAGCCTCTTCACAGCTTGGGCCCAGCCGTTGCTGGAGCCGCCACCGCCGGTCACCGGCGGGGAAGGGAAGGAGGGAAGGGGAGGGAAGGAGGAAAAAAGGAAGGGGGAGGGAAGGGGAGAGGTGCCGGCCAGAGGGCGAGCAGAGAAAACTGGAAGACAACCAAGGCCGTTACTACCGCCACAGGCACCACCACCTCCGCTCTCCTATCTAGGCACCACACAAAGAGGCCGCTGAACGCGCGCGCACCCTCCCCGAGCCATGCGTCACCGCCGACGTACCGCAGCCCAGGGCTGCCCGCCAATCCCCGCCTTGCTCTCCTTAGTCCCGCCTACCGCGCCGCAGCGCCGCTCTTGATCACGGACTCCCCACCCTACGCCGTCTATTCAAGCCCTCGGCCTTCTCTGCTCTGCCGCGCTTCTACCGCCCCACTTTCACTGCCGAGCTCTGCTGTGTGCCCTAACAAGGGACTACCCCTGCCCTTTGCGTACCTCTGCGATTCATTTTTCCCCAGCAAAGAGGCTGTTCCCAGTGATTTTACCCCTCCCCTTGCCCTGTCCCCCTCGCCCAACGCCGCAGTGGCGTTCGCGCCAGCCCCTTGAGAGGCATGTCAATTCAGCCAATCACCGCAACTCACTCTCACTCACTTCCGTTTTCCGCAGCCGCTCGACGGGCGCGCTCCAAGGAGCGCGCTGGTCCGGATGCCCCCTATTGCGGAGCCTGCCTGTCACCACCGCACCTCCTCACGCCCTGGCCTTGGCGGGGGGGTTTGGGAAGGGCGAAGAGCGGGAGTTCTCTGAGGTCCGTTCCCAACGGATGCGGCCTGGGACGCCACGCGCGGGCTTTTTGAAAACTTGACTGTTGGGAATGGGGGCCTGGATTCACCCGCCACGTTCCAACAGGGTCCCTACACCTGGTACCCTCCCTCCTCACTGTGGTACAATGATGGAAGCCATTTATTGTAGGCCCCACGCGCGGTTTAAAACATGGGCACGTGGCCCTGCGCAAAAGCGAGCCCCAGGCGACTTGAAAGACAGCAGTGTGCCAAAAGCGCTTAAGACTTTACGCCCTTTGGGGCCACCCGTGAAGCCCCTATGCGGCGCCCCTCTAAATCTCCCTCCGCGAAGACATTTTCATTTTACTTCAGTGATCATATCTTACAGGTTAAGTTGATGATATTAATTGCTTTCTTCCCAACTAAAATGTTAGCGCTTTTTTTTTTTAAGATTTATTTAATTTTAGAGAGGGGAAGAGGGAGAAAAACAAGGTTGCTTCCTGCCTTGGCTCCCCAACCACAGGAAGCCCCACAACCCAGGCACGAGCCCTGACCAGGGATGGATCTGTGGCCTTTCACTTCGTGGGTGGACGCCAACCAACTGAGCCACACCATTCAGGGCAAAACATTAACTTTTCATCAGTGTTTAATACCAGACTAGAAAATACATAAACATCATATATTGGGTTGGCCAAAAAGTTCGTTTGGTTTTTTCTGTAAGATGGCTCTAGTAGCACTTATCGGGCTTTAACTTCATTTGAAAGGAGTTAGATTGTATTTTAACAGTTGTCATACCAGCATGCATTTTTAAAAAAACATCAAAATTGGTGAATTTTTGTGTAGCCATTTTAATATTGAAGATGGGAAAAATAAGCAACATTTTCAGCATATTATGCTTTATTATTTCAAGGAAGGTTAAAATGCAACAAAAATGCAAAAACAGTTTTTTGTTCAGTGTATGGAGGTGCTATGACTGATCAAACATCAAAAGTAGTTTTGTGCTGGAGATTTCTTGCTGAAGGATATTCAGTGGGGTAGACCAGTTGAAACTGACAATGACCAAAATGAGACATTAATTGAGAACAATCAATGTTATACCACATGGGAGATAGCCAACATACTCAAAATATCCAAATTAATACAGGTTATTGGTGAAAATGAAAACTGTCTATTATGTAAAAAAACTAAATAGACTTTTAGGCCAACCCAATACAAATATGTACCCCTGATAACCACTTTGTAGACCCTAGTTCAGGTGGGAATGACAGAAAAATTATAATAACTTCCATTTATTGAACCTTTGTGTGCCAAGTGATACATGGAATGTGGCATCGAATGAGACATGATAAAACCAAAAGCCCCCAAACCATGTGATAAATACTGAAAAACAGGAATGATTCATGAAAGAGATCGAAGTTGCACTGAATTTCAGAGTCAAAGGCTAAATAAGATTTTTACAGGCAGTTTATCTGAGCAAAAGCCGGAGGACATGGACCTGTTTGGAGCAAGAGGTTTTGACACAAGACAGATAAGATTGGTTAAGTGCCTTTGATATTATGAATATCTTGAATTTCAGATTGAATTTGAATGTTATTCCAAAGATATATAGATAGGCTACAAGGTTTGGAGACAAAGAGCACAGTGCCTGCCTGGCACATAGTAAGTGCTCAGTTTATCTCACAAATAACTATGCTAAGTGCTGAGAATATGGCAGTCAACAATAGTCAAAAATCTCTGCCACCGTGGAGCTTACATTCTAGTGGGGAGAAGCAGACAATAAATAAGAATGGTATGTACACCTTAGACTATGATAAGTGTCACTGCAGAAAAAAAGAGGACAATAGGAAGCTATTATCTTGTTATAAAAAAAAACAAGTCAGATATGTCAGGATTACTAAATGATGGTAAAGGGTGAGAGAAATAAAAGCATTCCCATGACTGAAATCTGGCAACCTAAAATGCAGCAACAGTAGAACTAGAAAATCTAAGACAAACTATTTTGGAGAAAGTGGGGAAGATGATGAACATAGCTGTAAATGTTTAAGGTGATGCTGGTATTCACGGTGCAATGTTTTCTGGGATGCCCAAGGCTGTAGCTCAGGTGAGAGAGTAGACTTCTGGAAATACATCTTACAGTCATCCAAAAAATGTTAAAACAGTAAAAGATGAACTTCTAAAGGAAAGAGAATAAAACCATAACTTATTGTCCCATCTAAACTATAAATTCTAAAGTAACAGTTTTTTTCTTACATTGTTTAAAAATAATCCTCCACATCACCTAATTGGGGATCCATTATGTGTTTAATTTCTCTTGAGGAGGAGAACTTCATAGAGGGGCATGTCTATTATAAGCCTTACATATAGAAGAGACATTCAGGAAGCCCAGATAAATGTAAGAAAATTGGATGTTAGATTGTTCTCAGAGATTAGATTGGTAAAGGTAGATACAGTGAATAAAGAGTATTATATAAATGATGGACTCAGTTTCCTACCCCTCAGATCATGCGGGAGACAAACCGTTTTTTACCTACTTTACCTTTTAGGTCATTGCCTGAAATTGTTTCCTGGCTTTACCTTGCTTATTGATGTGTCAGTCTTCCAACACACACCAAAAAAAAAAAAGTAAAAATATAACTGGAATTTAGACAACCTTTGGTTCCATCCCTCCTGCAAGCTTGATTACAAAAATATCATTGAATGTGATGGTTACACAACTCATAGAACTTCACACTAAAAAGAGTGTATTTTAATGTTCCTAAATTATATCTAGAAAAAGAGAGAACTAGAGAAAGGGAAAACTATGGCCATGTATATTTCCAGAAAGAAGCAACTTTGATTATTTTTTTAGTCAACTTTTTGTAACATTCAAAAATATCTTTTTGCAGTTAAGGTTCTGTTATGGACTGAACTGTGTTTTTTCCCCCACCCTCAAGTTCATGTGTTGAATCCCTAGCCCCCAGTTCAAATGAGTGTACCTGTAATTGAAGATAAGGTCTGTAAAGAGGTGATTGACTTAAAATAAGGCTATGTGGGTGAGTCCTTAATCCAACAGGACTGGTGTCCTTATAAGAAGAGGATGAAACTAAAAAATAATAATAATAATAATATTAAATGTAAACTGTGATTGAAAATTTTAAAAAATAAACTCCATGTTAAAAAAAGAGAGAGAAGAAGAAGGAGGAGAAGGGGGAGGAGGAGGGGGAAGAGGAGAAGACACCAGGGGCACATGTGCATAAGGTGAAAAGTGATGACCATGTTAGAGGCAGCAAAAGAGTGGCCATTTGGAAGCCAAGGACAGAGGTGTCAAGAGAACCCAACTCTGCTGGCACCTTGATCTTGAACTTCGAGCCTCCAGAACTGCAAGAAAATTAATTTCTGTTGTTTAAACCACCAGTCTGTGGTGCTTTGTTATGAGAGTCCTAGCAAACTAATACATCCCCCTAGAAAAGAAGTGCTTTCCGTGTCCATGTTCAGAAGTATGAGACTTCACACATTTGTACCTGCAAAGGTGCCTATACACATCTTGCCTGGATTTCTCTAGGCCAGATTACAACAGATTTAGTGATTTTAACCTATGAATTCTATAACAGGGTCACCAAAGTACATTCCTTAAAATTATGTAAATTAACTTTTGGTTTGGAATTTTATGGTTTTTATTTATATTACCTAAAAGTTTATATACTTTTAGTGCATTGTTTTGAAGTCTAGTAAGAACTTCAAATTTTTTTAGTATTTCCTTCAACAAATCAATGTGAAAATCAAGTTTTTAATTGCACCTGTTTGAAATGTGGATAACAATTTACAAAGCTTCTTTTCCTAACTTACCACAGTAAAGAAAAATAATTTGCATTTATTGAGCTCAAATGCCATCAACCTAAAAAATGGCAACTCAGAATGAGATCTAATTTGTGAAGTGCTCTATACTGACACCTGTGAGTGAAGCAACATTCATACCACCATATACATTTTGAGTCCTCAGGAATCTGGTCCTTCCTCATTTCTAAGAACACACTGAACAGAGCAAAGAACAGGTTAGTCTACTCAGTAAGCTGCAAGAGTAGTATTTACTTGTAGTTTCCAGTGAGTTCAGATTATATATAAAGCTTTTCTGGATCATTCAGAATCTAAACATTTTTAGTTAAATTATATTTATTATAATTTCAGTACATTAATATTAAGGAAAGAAAGCTACAGATTTTTTCAACTAAAACCAGCACAATAGAAAAATATAAAAATAATTAGCCAAGATTTATGTGAGAAACAGTGTAATGATGAAATTAGCAGCTATGAAATCAAGAATCACATGCTCCTTGAGAAACCTATTCCATATGATAATCACTGGCTGAAATCTCTCAGTATAAATAGCAGTGATTTGTTTGGGACTGGCTATGTACACACCCTAGTTTACCTGAAACCTATTTTACTTTGCTGCCCAAAGTTCTAAATATGATTTATTTTTTCAGTTTCTGAAATAACATATGAAGCACTTTTCATTTATCAGTATCAATTAAAGGGGTTTCTTTCAAGGATTAAAATTGCATATAATTCAGTTCAAATTCTAATAATTTGCTAATTCCCATCATTAGTTTGGGAGGATTTATTTTTCACTAAGCTCTGATATGATTATCTACTGTATCCAGC